TTCAAGGGATTCTCCTGCCTCAGCCTCCCTAGTAGCTGTGATTACAGGTGTGTGCCATCACACCCAGCTGATTTTTGTATCTTTAGTAAAGACTGGGTTTTGCCATGCTGGCCAGGCTGTTCTCAAACTCTTGGCCTCAAGTGATCTGCCCACCTTGGCCTCCCAGAGTGCTGGCATTATAGGTGTGAGTCGCTGCACGGGGCCCCGGCCAGTTTTTAAAAAATATAAGTCAGGCCGGGCACGGTGGCTCAAGCCTGTAATCCTAGCACTTTGGGAGGCCGAGGCGGGTGGATCACAAGGTCGAGAGATCGAGACCAACCTGGTGAACATGGTGAAACCCCGTCTCTACTAAAAATACAAAAAATTAGCTGGGCATGGTGGCGTGTGCCTGTAATCCCAGCAACTCAGGAGGCTGAGGCAGGAGAATTGCCTGAACCCAGGAGGCGGAGGTTGCGGTGAGCCGAGATCGCGCCATTGTACTCCAGCCTGGGTAACAAGAGCGAAACTCCGTCTCAAAAAAAAAAAAATGTAAGTCAGAGGCCGGGCATGGTGGCCTGTAATCCAAGCACTTTGGAGGCCAAGGCAGGCGGATCACCTGAGGTCGGGAGTTCAAGACCAGCCTGACCAACATGGTGAAACCCCGTCTTAAAAAAAAAAAAAAAAAAAATTATAGCCGGGCGCGGTGGCTCAAGCCTGTAATCCCAGCACTTTGGGAGGCTGAGGTGGGTGGATCACGAGGTCAAGAGATCGAGACCATCCTGGTCAACATGGTGAAACCCCGTCTCTACTAAAAATACAAAACATCAGCTGGGCATGGTGGCGCATGCCTGTAATCCCAGCTACTCAGGAGGCTGAGGCAGGAGAATTGCCTGAACCCAGGAGACGGAGGTTGTGGTGAGCCGAGATCGCGCCATTGCACTCTAGCCTGGGTAACAAGAGCAAAACTCCATCTCAAAAAAAAAAAAAAAAAAAAATTATATGTGTGTGTGTCAGAAAATGTCACTCCTCTGCTCCAAATCTTCCAATGCCTTCTCAATTCAACCAGAATAAAGGTGAAAGTTTTAGAATTCCCTCCGAGGCCCTGCAAAGTTTGGCCTCTGTATAATTTTCTAGCCTCTTCTCCTACTTGGCTGCACCCACATGGCTTCCCTCATGCTCCTCAAAGATGCCTGGTGTGTTTCTCCTTAACTCCCCCACCCTTTGCAGGCGCTCTTCAGTTTGCCTGGCTCATCTTCCCCAAGATAGCCCTATGGTACACTTCTTCCTGTAGTTGAGATCCTTTGTTCAAATGTCACCTATACTGTGAGGCCTTCCCTGACTTCTCTATTTAAAAATGCACCCTTTCCTCCAGCCCCACTCTCCCTCCTCCTCTGTTTCTTCATAGCATGGGTCTCTTGTATGATATATCCTCCTTTTGAAAATTATCTGGCCGGGTATGGTCGGTCACGCCTATAATCCCAGCACTTTAGGAGGCTGAGGTGGGTGGATCACCTGAGGTCAGGAGTCCAAGACCAGCTTAGCCAACATGGTGAAACCCCATCTCTACTATTAGCTGGGCGTGGTGGCAGGTGCCTGTAATCCTAGTTACTTAGGAGGCTGAGGCAGGAGAATTGCTTGAAACTGGGAGGTGGAGGTTACAGTGTCGCCTACTCCAACCTAGGCAACGAGAGTGAATCTCTGTCTCAAAAAAAAAAAAAAAAAAAAAAAAAAAGCCGGGCGCGGTGGCTCAAGCCTGTAATCCCAGCACTTTGGGAGGCTGAGGTGGGTGGATCACGAGGTCGAGAGATCGAGACCATCCCGGTCAACATGGTGAAACCCCGTTTCTACTAAAGATACAAAAAATTAGCTGGGCATGGTGGCACGTGCCTGTAATCCCAGCTACTCAGGAGGCTGAGGCAGGAGAATTGCCTGAACCCAGGAGGCGGAGGTTGCGGCGAGCCGAGATCGCGCCATTGCAATCCAGCCTGGGTAACAAGAGCGAAACTCCGTCTCAAAAAAAAAAAAAAAAAAAATTGCCGGGTGTGGTGGCTCATGCCTGTAATCCCAGCACTTTGGGAGGCCGAGGCAGGTGGATCACCTGAGGTCAGGAGTTTGAGACCAGCTTGACCAACATGGAGAAACCCCATCTCTATCAAAAATACAAAATTAGCTGGGTGTGGTGGTGCATGCCTGTAATCCCGGCTACTGAGGAGGCTGAGGCAGGAGAATGGCTTGAACCCGAGAGGCAGAGGTTGTGGCGAGCTGAGATCACACCATTGCACTCCAGCCTGGGCAACAAGAGCGAAACACTATCTCAAAACAACAACAACAACAAAAATAAAATTATTATCTGTCACCCATCATTAAAATATAAGATCTGTGAAAGAAGGTATTTTCTTTAATGCTATTATCTGTGGTGCCTAAGATGGGACCTAGCACACAGTAGATGCCCAATAAATATTTGTTGAATCAATGAATGGATCCCATTCTCTCCATCCCTACTGCTTCTACCCTGATGAAGGCATCACTGGTCACCTTGCCTTCATTCGTCCTCCCTTTCAAAACATTTTCCATCCAGCAGTCAAGGAGATGGTCCTAAAATGAAAGCTTGATGCCTTAAACCATATGTTGCAGGCAGTTTGCACTCTAGTTCCCAAAGCAGAGTTTTAAGGCTTCTACCCTTGTTGTTCTGACTGCCTGGAGAGCTTATGAAAGTAAAGCTTCCTCTTGTTCTACTCAACTCATCCTTAAGCATCCTTTAGGTTGTAGCTTAGATGTTGCTTGTTCAGGGAGCCTTTTTTAATCTCTCCAGATTGGGTTAGGCCCCTGTCTGAAGTCACCCTGGTAAGTGGTGGAGCTGGGGTAGGACAGGAAGCAGCTTACTGCCTTCCTCTTTGATGGTTCTTCCTCGTAAGTATCTGTTTCCTTGTCTACTTCCCCTCACTGTACTTTGAGCCTCTTAAGGCAGATCCTGTGTCCAGCGTCCCAGTATGTAACAGTGTGCCTGCACACACTTGTTGAAAGAACAATGGAACATTTTCTAGTTGGTTCCCACAGTGTTATTGTAGAGGCTCGACAATGCATGGTTGGCCTTCCTTTGTCTTGTAAAGGTTGAGACCCAAAAGCTCCATTCTGTATCCTTCCAGGGCTCTCATGGTACTGAGATGGGGTGTGGGGTTGGGTGGGTGAGATTGGAAAAACAAGGAACAAGGTCTCTGTCCTCAGTTCTCTGGCCCCAATAAGACCGCTACTTTCATCATAGCCTCCTCAAAGTCTCCCTTGCCCTGCAGGTTGCTTGGAGAGCCATGCCCATTCAAGCCATGGACACCCACCAGCAGTCAGCTGCTCCTTCCCCAAGCTGCCCTCAGCTCTCTCCCAGACTTCCTGGCAATAAGGAAGAAAGGAAGGGACGGGTCAGTCCCACCATGCCCTCTGGAGGGGGCCTGGAGATGTCTGCCCCTCTCAGGCCACATCCCGACCTGCCCCTGCAGGCTGGCTTACCCTTTCCCCTGCCCAGCAAATCACCCCACCCTGGCCTCCCCACCACCTACCCCCTTGAAGCCTGCCTCGGCCTCAGTGCCTGGCAGGCTGGGTTGAGTCACTTGTAGCTTGCATTCTTCTTCTGGTCAGGCCAGTTTGGCAAATCTCTCAGGCTCCCCAGCCCCCCTGAAGCCTGTGTGACTCCCTCCCCAGGGCCCCCAGCATCCCCAGATGAGGCAAAGCAGGCACCTGGGAGGAAAGTCCATAGGACTTTCTGGAGGAGACATTACAGATGGCATGGTAGACCTCTCTCCTGCCCAATTCTAGGGTCTCTGCTCTAGGCCCAGGAGCACTTCTCTTTCCAGAAACAGCCTCAGCCTGGTGTTGTCTCGCAGAACAACCTAAACAGAGGATCTTGCTATTCTGCATTCTCTGGGGCAAGAACTTCACCCGGACCCTGAGTCCCTGTAGGCTAAAGTCAGATGAGGAGGAGGATACCTCCTCCAATCCCCAGTCTCCAGGGAGAAAAGGGAACAGTGGGGCCTAGGTCACCCTGGGGTTGTCAGCCTGACTTCCTACCCTCCCCACCTCCTCGTTCTGACCACCAGAGGGACTGAGGACCCTAGACAAGACCTGCTGCACTGCTCAGTTCGAGAGTTTAGTGAGGCTGCAGGGGAAGGAGTGTGGACCCCTCAGCAAAGGCCCCCCACGTGGCTAGGTCTCACAGAAGGGACAGGAGGTAAAAGCCCCCTCATAGGAGCTGACACCCCCTCTCTGTTGCTTATGATGTTCTAGGACCTCTGCCCCAGCCCCAGCCCCAGCAGAATCCCCTGCCACTCCCCAGGACAGAAAACCAGAAGGGAATGAATGTGTGAGGGCCCGGGTGCTCGCAGGTTCCAAGAACTCTTTCTGGGTGCAGCCCTCATGCCTGCCAGGCTAATGCCTTCTCCCCCAGCACAGCGCCTTCCCGCACCGGGCACTGGGCTGTTTTGCTGCCTCCTGGCCATGGAGAGGCAGGAGCTAGGCTGGAAAGAAGATACCCACTACCTCCCTCTGCTCCCAGCCCAGTGGAGTTGCTAGGGCAGGTGGGCTGCTTCTGAATGGCCCTTCTATCTGGATCCTGCCCCCGGGCCCTGGATTAGGAAGTGGAATTTAGATGTCATATGAGAGGAAGCTGGAGCAAGGACCCAAAGGAGATGAGGAGGGCCCCTCTTCCTAAGGTGAAAGGGGTTTTTGGTGAGAGGAGGGTAGAAGGATGAAGTAGCAGGAAGAGGGTCTTCACCCACCCACTCATCTCCCCAGACTGCTCCTTGATCCTACCCCGTTGACCTTAGAGGAATTCAGGACCGGGTGAGGGAGAGCCTGTCCCTGGAAAGTCATTTCTGCATGACTGAAGAGCCACCAGCTGTGCAATCCCACTCCTCGGCACCTCCTCCAATCCCGACAACGCCGGGGGCCTCAAACCCACTCCCTCTGCCAGGGCCCCGGGCTTCCTGCTCCACTACTCCACGCAGCCAGAAATGAGCACACAACCCAGGCACTTCTGCAAAGATGTTTAATGCACTTAGATTACACAGAGGAAGAGGGGGCAAGAAGGAAACATCTAAGTGAGTCACCCAAAAATTCTTACAAAAGTCCCAGGCTGGCTGCAGCCCCAGGAACCGAGTCGCCACTGACATTAAAAACTAATATAAAATTTACAAAAATCTGCTCGTTGCAGCATTCAGGTACTTGTACAAAAGGAGGGGTCTCTCTACAGGGCTCCTGACTTGTAACAGGGACCCAGGCACCTCATCTGGCGTGGACATCCTAGAAGCCAGAGAGGGAAGACCGGATAAAAAAATACAGTAAAGGAAATTCTTTACTGGCCTGCCCCATAGGGGCACCGACCTTCAGGTTTTCTCCCTGCTTGCAACTCAATCCGAAACCCCAGTCTCAAGACCCTGTATCTATTTTTTTAAATGCTCTAGCCCTTTTAGACTCTCCCTTCAGCTTCCCCAGTCCCTGCCTTGGAGCGCTGCCCTTGGAAGAGGAAGATGGGCAGGAAGAGGCATGAGCTCCCCAGCCAGGCCTGAGACCTCGCACAAGCCTCCCCAAACCCTCAGAATGGCAGCTGGGTCTGTGGTCCTCCTGCAGCCCACTCTGGGCCAGCGGAGCCACGGGAGCCTGCCTTATACAGCAGGAGACAGCAAGGGAAAGGCCCTTCTCAGAAGCTCTAGCACCAGGGACCTGGGGGGCTGGGTAGGACTAGGCAAATCTCCAAGCAGCCTGCAGAAAGAGGCAGATTTAGGGAGGGAGGCCCCTTGCCTCTTCCACCCACTACAAGGTCAGGGGCTCTCACAGAGCTGTAGGGAGGGAAAATCGGGTACATTCACCTAGCATCCTGTGCCAGAAGCCGTGCTGGGCAGGGTCCAAGGTCAGCCTGGCTTGATCTTTGAGGGTCCTCTGTCACTAAGCCAGCAGCCTGAGACACCTCTGGCAGGCACCAATGCCCATGGGAAAGGAGGCCTGGTCAGAGATGCGTGATGCCCTGCCCAGTCCCCAGAGCCAGTGAGACGAAGCCTGGCCCCTGCAGGATCTTGGATGTACACGAGGCTCCCTGAAATAGCATGGGTACCAAGGGGCCACAGGCTTCATGTGCTCATCATCTCGGAGCTCACCCACTTCCTCCTTTCCTTGCTCCCCTGGAACAGGTCCACATGCTGGCTGGTGCCTACCTTCAGTCTGCAAACGCCTTCCAGGCCTGGGGCAAGTTGCCGACCAGGTGCTTCATAAGCTGATGACAAAGCTTAGCTCAGAAAATGCCCCTCCCCACCCAACCACAGACGGAAGCAGGGTGAACTGCAGCGGGGGACCCTCAGGCCGGTCTCCAGCAAGACAGAGTGCAGGTAGAGGCTGGTCAGTGTGGCAAACTGATGGCACTTCTCTGCCTGTGAAATGTCAGAAGATAAGAGCTTCAGAGGAAGGGCTGCTGTGGTGGGTGAAGGCCAGTAGGGCTCCCTCTGAAAAGTCCTCAGGGCAGTAGAGGCACAGCTGCCGACATGAGGTTCCGAGTGGCTTGCATCTTGGCTGGTGGGGACCTGGAGCCAGTCTCTCCCAAATACTCCAGGCTGATGTGCCTTGTAGCTCTGAGCTTGATGGAGTTAACTGGATAGCCCTGAGGATGTGCAGAGGCCAGGCCTAGTGGCTCCAGGGAGGTCCAACTCCTGTCCCTAGAGAACCCAGCTGGTGCCCTCATACCCCTGGGGGCGCTCCTGTGGCATCCCTGGTGGTGCCTGTGTGTGTAGCAGAGGCAGATGGGAGCCATGAGGAGCCCTGCGTAGTCATGATTTGCTTTGAAGAGGTGGAAAGTGATCCTGAAGTATTACAGCAGTCCCTAGATTTGGGGGTTAGAAGGTGGGAAGGGGCTTGCTAGTTCCAGGTCAGGAGTGGGAAACAAGCCGGGAGGAACTCCAAATCCACGGGGTAGAGATAAGGCTGGCTTCCGGAAGGCAGACTGCAAGATCTGCAGCACTGGGGGTGAAGGGCTGATGACCATGAGAGGCCAGGATGCTGGAAAGGAGGCGGGATGAGGAGTGGAGATTGAAAGACAGGGCAGGGCATGGATGGATACGGGGAGGATGGGAGGGCAGCAGAGAGCAGTGTTAGCAAAACCAAAGTGAAAGAGATGTTGAGAGGCAGAGTTTTCAGTTTTAGTAAGCCAGTCCTACAGCCTGAGACTGGTAGGCCCAGGCACTGGGGAAATGAGACGGGACTGGTTACAGAGCTGGAGACCCAGGCCCTGAGTGGCAGTGTGTGACATGCTGAAGCTCACCCTCTCCCAGGCAGGCCTGGTTGGGTGGAAAAGGCCTAGAAGATGAGGCTGGGGTCACCAAGTCTTTGAGACCCATTCACTTGAAAACAGTAGCCCCCCTCCCTGGCCCCAGCTAAACTAGGCTCAAAGCTGCACAAGTTGGTGTCTCCACTCTCCCCCGGCCCCAGGCTCTGCCAGGCCCAGCTGAGAAGAAAAGCCTGTCTTTGCAGCCGGCTCCTCCAGGGCTCTGGGGCTGGCAGGCGAACACCAAGCACCTTCTGTCGTGGCAGTCCAGGGAGACATACAGCCCTGGGCCTCTGTCAGAGAATGGGAAAGTTCAATGGGGAATAAAGTTCTGTTTAAAAAACATTATATACATGGCTTCTGGACATCTTTGCAGAGCAATAAAATACCATCCGGTTTCTACAAAATAAAATAAGGAAGAAGAAAACCAAACACGATCAGAGGAATTGTTCCATGGCCAGAGAAGCTTGAGTAGCAAAGGCTTCCAGAGCTGAGCTGGGCGGTGCATCCACATGCTCTGCTCTGCACCTGGGCTGTCCGCCCACCTCCTGCTGTGCGGCACCCACCTCCTGCTGTGCGGCACGGGGTAGGTGAGAATGAGGCCTGTCTCCACCTAGGGGCACAGCCAGGGTCCAGAGTCAAACCTCAGACCAGAATCTATTCAGGCAGCAGTCAGGGAGGGTCTGCATTTGCCCGCTTACTGGCCTGATGGGTTGCAGGGCTTAGCCATGGGGGGTGGGGGGGTGCAGCCCCTGAGCTGGAGGTGAGATGGGGGCCCGTGGTCTGTGCATTGCACCCCACTGGGCTACGGGGTGGTGCTGCGCAGTCCTCCTCACACTTGTCCTTTTATTTGTGGGGATCTCGTTGACACAACTGTTACACTGGAAGTCACTGGGGAGCAGCTGGGCTCCCTGCTGGCCCCTGCAGGGCCCAGCCCAGGCTAGTGTAGCGGACTGTCGAATACCATGTCAGGCAGGATGGAGACCTTCAGCTTCTTTTCAGGCCAGCTGTACTCTTTGGGAAGTTTGAACTGTGGAGGGAGCAAGCACAGACCAGGAGTGTGAGTAATTAGCGGAATCCACCGTGCTCTTTCCAGACTGCCCAGGCCTGTCCGGGAAGCCAGGGATAGGATGGGCCGCGGGATGCCTGGCTTCCTTCTCAAATGCTAGACCCAGGTGGGAGGCTGGGCTCAAATGGCTGTAGTGGGTGACCTCTTCTTTCCCCACGGCCTGCCAATAATTAGCCAGGTTGGAGGAGGGCGTTTTCTCCTCCTTTTTCCACTAAGCTGACCTCCCTCTTGCTCACTTCCTTCGTTCTGCCTCTGGCCACAGGCATGTAAGGAATCTGCTCCCTGAGGCCCTAGGGCTGGAAGATGGGGGCTGGGGGAGGGTCTGGAGGCTGTGGGGAAGTGGCCAGAGCTCTGTCATTGCCATGGCCTCTCTTTCAGAGGATAGTGCAGGAAGAACCCTGGAACCTGTTCTTTGTAACCTTGGCCAAAGGCTCTAAAGGGAAAGAGGCCCTAGCTCGGCCCCAAAGTCAGAACCCCACTTGCAGCCTTGGTGGGTACAGAAGAGTGGGCTTGAGGTGATCCCTTTGGCCTTGCGGAGCCGCAAGAGGGGGCCAGTCCCCACCCTGTTCCCCATGTTCATTCGCACCGCTTCCCAGGGTTACCAGCCTCAGAGTGATCCCAGCAGTGGGCAAGGACAGCCACATGTCTCCCACCCTGCCCCAGGAATCACTGATTGGCCTACAGTTCTATTTCTCCTGTTCACCTGGGAGCCTCTGGTTGGGGAAGGGATTCCTTCTTTACAGTAGGACTTTGGAAGCAGTCTGGCATATAGCTGGTGCTCAATAAATGCTCACTGCCTGGGACTGATGCTGGAACTTAGACACAGGGTCTGTCTTTTCTAACTTGGCTAGACTGGAAGTCAGTGCAGGGTGGAAAGGAGAGAACAGTGCTTTCCACCTGCCTGGGGCTGGGGCTGGAGGCAGACAAGCCTGACCTTTCATGGCTACCTCCCTCTTCCCTCTCTCTGCTGGGGGGACTATCTCTGCCAGGACCAAAGTGGTGAGTGGGGCAGGGAGTGGGGACAGCCTCTGGACAGACAAGGTAAAAAAGAAAAAAGTCAGGCCGGGCGCGGTGGCTCAAGCCTGTAATCCCAGCACTTTGGGAGGCCGAGGCGGGTGGATCACGAGGTCGAGAGATCGAGACCATCCTGGTCAACATGGTGAAACCCCGTCTCTACTAAAGATACAAAAAATTAGCTGGGCATGGTGGCGCGTGCCTGTAATCCCAGCTACTCGGGAGGCTGAGGCAGCAGAATTGCCTGAACCCAGGAGGCGGAGGTTGCGGTGAGCCGAGATCGCGCCATGGCACTCCAGCCTGGGTAACAAGAGTGAAACTGTCTCAAAAAAAAAAAAAAAGAAAAAAGTCATTTTCAGTGACCTACTTTCCTCTGCTCCCCCTGGCTTCTATCCCTCTTGCCTGGACTGTTCCCCTCCTACCCCCTTAACACCCAAGCTCAGAGCAGCAGCCTGGCACAGTGCCATCCCAGTGCGACAGGGCCTCTCCGGAAGCGCTTCTGGGCAGCTGGCTCTGGTCTGACTGAATGGGGAGCCGGGACTCAGGGACCAGCGACTTGTGGGGGTTGATTGGCTGGCACGGACTGGGTGCTTGATGACTTTCGAATGTATAAATGAACTGATTTCTCAAGCTGCATCCCAGAGGGCAGAAGAGACACTGCTCTGCTCTGGTGACCCCTGGCTCTGGGGAGTTCCTGTCCACCTGGAGACCTGGCCTGGACGGTCCCACCCTGTGCACTCCCCTCAGCTTCCTGAACGTCAGAGTCCTCTGTGTCCTGGTTGGTGCCGCCTGGGGAGCCCTGGCAGCTGGAAGCTCCAGCCCTGGCTGGAACCTAGCTCCTGCTTGGCCTCCCTCTGGCTAGAAAGCCTGGCCCCTGGGAGGCAGAGTTCTCTCCCAAGCACATTTCCTGGCAGACAGGGCAAGGGAAGGGTCTGTCTCTGTCACAGGCAGGGCAGGGCCCAGGAGGGCTCTCCAGAGGCCCAGCCAGCCTGCTAATGTTCACTAACGCATGGGGCACTGAGGCCAGAAAGGCTCCCATCCTGCTGGGGTGCTAGGGGCAGGAGCAGGGGGAGGGGAAGGGACTTTCCAGGATGAGGTAAGTCCCTGCGAATGAGAATGCTGGGAACAAGGGAGAAAAAACAAAGGGGATTATGGACTCCATTCCTCTACCCCAGAGGAGTAGCTGGAGAAGGCACAACCACAGCTGGCCTGCCAGCTCCTCTGGCTCTGAGCCACGGCTGGATGAGGGGGACTAAGAGGGGACAGCTCACGGCTGGAGAAGGAAGCAGGGAGAGTGGCTCCTGGGTGGCCCAAGGCGAGGGCAGGAGTCCCTTGCTGCCCACCAGAACTCCCCAGTGGAATGTTCTCTGGCAGCAGACATGGGCTTTCTGTTCAGAACCTGCCAGGGAACAGCAGGGGCTGGGGAGAACTTGAACTAGCCTGAAGGCCCTGGCTTCCTCTTCAATGAGGTTCTTAGGAGCTGGCAATTTGGACAATTTGCTGGGTGTCCTTACAAGGGCTGGGGGTAGGGCAGGGAATGGGGGGGTGGCGTGCATAGAAATAGAAGAGAAATCTACAGTCTCTTCTCCAGCCTATCCCTGCACCTTGGAGAGGAGCCCACAGATGTAGCCACACAAATACATGCAAGCACACGTGAACACACACACACACACGTTTGCACACACATGGTCCCAGAGCCGGGACCCGCTGTCAGGGAAAGTCAAACAAGCTTACTTCCTCTGGAGAAGTCAAATCTTCTAAATCCTCCAACATTTTCTCTACAAACTCTTCGGTCAACAGAATCTGTGAAGGTACAAGGCAGGCTTTTATTATTATTATTTTTAATATATGATCTTTTGCCAAGCACCAAGCTTTAGACTTCTCTTCTGACCATGAAGGAGAGATGAGCTCACTGTGATTTGTTCAAGGGACAGAGGGAAGTGTTTGAGGCCTGTCCCCAACTGTCATTTCCCCCCCATTCCCTCCACCTCCCTACAAGATCAGACAGGGACAGAGAAGGAAAGGGGTCTGGGGACAATGGGGACGGGAGGGAGGACATTGGGAGGTCTGGGAATGCTGCTCCCGGAGGGGAGATAACACTGGTGGGGCTGGTAAAAAGGTTACATCAGGAAAAAAGAGGAACAAAAAAAAGAAAAATTAAAAGGAAAAAACATTTCAATTAAAAATATATTGATGAGGGAAAAAGCCCCTGTTGCAGTTGCCCAGGCCTCCTGCACAGTGTAGTGCAATCGCAGGGAAGAGCAGGGCCGAGGGCGGGGAAGCTGCTGCCCAGTCAGGCTCGCGGGTCCGCCTCTGCCCCCACACCGTGGCAGGACAAAAGGAATCTGTCTGAATTTGGAATACAAGCCCTGTCTGGAATCTGGAAATGCCCCGGAAGGTACATCCAAGAATGTCTGAGCTAGAGAACCTGGAGACTGTGGACCAACGTCTCTCATTTTACAGATGACAAAGGGACTCCCCACTTCCATTCCCATTCAGGGTAGCTACGTCCTCCAAGGATGGAAGCTCCCAAGCCAGTGCCCTGCTGGGCTCGATCAGCCACTGAGTTCCTCCAGGCTTCTTTGAGAGTCCTCTTCTCTAGGTCGCCTCCCAGCGTTCCACGCTGCTGTTCTAGTCTGACGCCTCATTGCCTCTCGCTTTGATGCTGAGTCTGGCCCCACTATTTGGCTAGCACAACTACCACCTTCATCTGCTAAAGAAGTTTTCACAGCCAATACCAATGTCCAAGGACTCTCAGGGCCTCTAAAACCAGATCTTCCTCAATCTGATGAGTCATTTTCCCCACCCACCCCTCTGGTCAGGCTGCTATGCAGAGCCAGGCCAAACTGACCTGAGGTCTGCACCCCACCAGGCCCTGGCTGAGGATCTTTCCTCTTCCAACCCTGACCCCTTCCTTCACCCCTCCCTCTCTCTGTCCTCGTCCTCAGGGCCTCCCGGCCTCCCCGAGCTGCAGACCCTTCTGTACCCCCAGGCCACAGCTCTACCTGTCTCCTCCCGCATACTCTGAGCACCCAGGTAGGGCACAAAGGAAGAAAGATGATGGGGTGAAGATCCAGATGAGGGGCTCTTCTGAGGGGAAACCCTCCCTGTGAGGAGGAGAATTGAGAACTTGAAAAATACCCACCAGGTTTCCCCTGGGAATTGTCAGCTGCCAAGAACAAAAGTTTCCACACTGTGAGATTAACAAGGAAAGTGAGCAAGCGGTACGGCTCGGGACCTCGAAGGATGGAGGTCTCCAAAGCAGGAAGTGGACAGGGTAGAGGAGGGAGTGAGGAATAAGAACACTACTCCCAAGTGAGCAGAAAAGCTATTATCATACGGGGCATGCTAACTGCTCATCTCCCTGTCTTACAGTGGAGGAAACTGAGACACAGGCAGGTTATGTAATTTGCTCAGTGTCACATGGCTTGTGAGTGGCTAAGACCGTATCCTGGTCCTGTCTGGCCTCTCAAGTTAGTGCCTGAAGTACTGCTCCAGAATGCTGAACTCTCACCCCCAGCACACTGACTCCTCTATTCATTCTTCCAGGGATACAGGCATGAAGGCAACCCATTTCCCACCAGGACAGGCACCCTCCCTTGGCTGGCAAGGAGACAGGAGACCCAGCCTTCCCAGGCTCCAAGCCCACAGCAGCTACAAAATAGCTCTGACCATCAGTCCGCATCTCCTCACCAAACTCTGTTCTAGGAGCTAGGGCCCTGACTGAGGACAGAGACAAGGCTTAGAGACAGAACAGGAAAGGCAAAGTTGGCAAAGCTGGGGGAGGTGCATCCCTACAGTTCTAATTCCCCAAAGTGGGGCTGGCCGACTCTGCCCACAGACTCCAGATTTACACCTACCTCTCCCATAGCCCAAGCTCTTGCTCCTCCTACTCTCTTATCCCAGGAGTCCTCCCCAAAAGTTCAGAGTTTCCTCACCAGTTATCACCAGTCTGCTGAAGTAGTACAAAAGTCCCATTCATATTTTTGGCATTTCCGGGGCTCACTGCCATCTCTGCAAATGCTAGCACAAACACAAGCATACCTAAAACCCAATTATATTACAATGACTCCAGTCTGGGCCGGGCTAATTTCTAACTCACAAATAACTTGGAGGGAGGGGCTTTCTGCCAGGTCAGTATATAGATCTAGGATTATAACAAGTGCTAAGGGTGAGATGGGGTAGGAGGGAGGACAGGAAGAGGGGCGAGGGTTCACAGGGGCTGTGGCCACCCAGTTAGACACCAGAGTTACTCTTCAAGGAAATGTAATACCACCAACACTGAGTTCATTCTAAGCTGGCTCCTCTGACAAAGGTCTGGAACTGATGCTAGGGAGAGGGTGAGGTATAGTGGCTTTTAGTAGAGCAACCACTATGTGTGTGGACTTATTTTGGGCTCAGTTGGGGAGGGAATGGCCAGATCAAAAACAAGGACAAACCCTAGTTGCTCCTCCATTTTCGCTTTTGGTGATTTGCTGGTTCCTGCTGGCAACTTCACATTATTTAAAAAGAATTAAAGGGGAAAAATTATACATGAGACCTGCATGATATTAAGGGTGACATTCTCTGCAAAGAAACACGACGGACTGTCATAGCTCCAGGCACCTAATTTAATTTCCTTTGGGAGTTAAACCTTAGAAGCTTGGATTGAACAAACAGGCCCTGTTCTTTGTATATTTCAAACCTGGAGCTGAGAATGTTAACAGATCTTATCAACAGGACACTGGAGATAGACAGCCAAGATGGGGCAGCTCCTGGGAGCTCTCCTGAGTAACAGAGTCGCCCTTGTGATGCAACTGTGGGAAAAGCCTGTGCAGTTCTGGGGCTTGGCACTCCTGAAGCTCACTGGGTCCCTACGGAGCTGCTTGGCTCTGCTACAAATAATGGGAATGATGATGATAAAAATGACAGTAAAAATGGCCAATGGCAGAATCAGTACCTGCCCCATGTGCCAGGTGCTGTGCTAAGAGCTTGATCAGTGTCATTTAGTTGAATCCTTGTGGCAGTCCTGCTAGGGAGGTGACTATCATCCCCACTTTGCCCAAGCGTAGGTACCCAGAGGAGACAAGGCGCTGGACTTTTATTTTTTAGACGGAGTCTTGCTCTGTCATCCAGGCTAGAGTGCAGTGGCACAATCTCGGCTCACTGCAACCTCCACCTCCTGGGTTCAAGTAATTCTCCTGCCTCAGCCTCTAAGTAGCTGGGATTACAGGAGACTGTCACCACATCTCACTAATTTTTTTTTTTTTCTTTTTTAGTCAGAGTCTCTCTCTCTCTGTCGCCCAGGCTGGAGTGCAATGGTGAGATGTGGGCAAACTGCAACCTCCGCCTCCCAGGATCAAGCGATTCTCCTGTCTCAGCCTCCCCAGTAGCTGGGACTATAGGCACATGCCACCACGCCTGGCTAATATTAGTAGAGATGGGGTTTCACCATGTTTGTCAGGCTGGTCTCGAACTCTTGACCTGTGACCCACCCGCCTTGGCCTCCCAAAGTGCTGGGATTACAGACGTAAGCCACTACATCCGGCCTAATTTTTCCTTTTTTTTTTTTTTTGAGACAGAGTCTTGCTCTGTTACCAGGCTGGAGCACAGTGGTGCAGTCTCGGCACACTGCAACCTCTGCCTCCCGGGTTCAAGCAATTCTTCTGCCTCAGCCTCCCAAGTAGCTGGGACTACAGGCAGGTGCCAAATGCCCGGCTAAATTTTTGTATTTTTTTTTTTTTTTTTTTTTTTTTTTTTTTTTTATGAGACGGAGTTTCGCTCTTGTTACCCAGGCTGGAGTGCAATGGCGCAATCTCGGCTCACCGCAACCTCCGCCTCCTGGGTTCAGGCAATTCTCCTGCCTCAGCCTCCTGAGTAGCTGGGATTACAGGCATGCGCCACCATGCCCAGCTAATTTTTTGTATTTTTGGTAGAGACGGGGTTTCACCATGTTGACCAGGATGGTCTCGATCTCTCGACCTCGTGATCCACCCGCCTCGGCCTCCCAAAGTGCTGGGATTACAGGCTTGAGCCACCGCGCCCGGCCAAATTTTTGTATTTTTAGTAGAAACAGTGTTTCACCACGTTGGCCAGGATGGTCTCCGTCAATTTTTCCATTTTTAGTAGAGACAGGGTTTTGCTATGTTGGCCTGGCCGGTCTCGAACTCCTGACTTCAAATGATCCACCCCACTTGGCCTCCCAAAGTGCTGGGATTACAGGTGTGAGCCACTGTGCCTGGCTCAAGCCTCTGGGCTTTAGAGGAGCAGCTATCTGACCTCATGGTGGTAGAGGATGCTTTTTTTCCTGTCTGGGGAAGACACCCCAACCCTAGAAGCCTGTATATTTGGGGATGACTTATCTGTCTGCTGATGAAGGAGGTGAACATAGCTTTGTTTTTTACCAATGACCTGGAAAATCAGCAGTCCCAAACTCTACCGGCCACGTATCTCCTGGCCTCCTGCTCAACTTAAAAAGGCTGGACGGCTGGGCGAGGTGGCTCGTGCCTGTAATCTCAGCCCTTTGGGAGGCTGATGAGGGCAGTTCTTGAAGTCAGGAGATCGAGACCATCCTGGCTAACATGGTGAAACCCTGTCTCTACTAAAAATACAAAAAAATTAGCCAGGCGTGGTGGCACATGCCTGTAGTCCCAGCTACTCAAGAAGCTGAGGCAGGAGAATTGCTTGAACCTGAGAGGAGGAGGTTGCAGTGAGCTGAAATTGCACCACTGCACTCCAGCCTGGGTGACAGAGTGAGGCTCCGTCTCAAAAAAAAAAAAAAAAATAGAAGGCTGGAGACCTGAGAGTGCTAAAACGCCAGACTGGCCAACTGGAAAGGAAGGCACGCCATGCCCAGAGATGGTTCCCAAGTGGGGACAGTGGGGCAAATTCCAAGGCCAGCCTAGTGAATACATATATCTTGACAGTTCTCTAGCCCAGAAGGTAGCAGTATAAAGACTGATAACAGCACTCACTGATATTTGCACTTACCAAGAGCAAGGCAGAAAACACTTATGTTTGTGCACAAACAGCTCTCAGAGGGAGGAGTCCATCTAGAGAGGAAGACCCCCCCCAACCAATCTGAGCAGCACACTCCCCTGGGAAGCTTCTGAAAATATGGGGAGGCTAGGCCCCATTCATACCTCCTGAATCAGAATACGCTGGGGCAAAGCCAAGGCATTGGTATTTTTAAGAGGTGCCCCACAAGATCATGGTAGGGCTGCTGGGGAAATACTCAGGCCCACAGGAAAACGGGGTTTGGGCACAGGCTTAACCGACAAGGGTGACTTGGTGGCTCTAGCTCCACCACCATCAAACTGGCTGAGCTGCCAGGGGAGCAATGGACCCTGGTCACCCCTAATTCCCACCTTTGGCCAGGGAGGGGGCTTGGAATCTAGGCCAGCAGCTACTCTAATGAGCTCACACCAGCTGCCTTAACTAGCTTGCCTGGTGATGGTAAGGGAGGATTGTCAACAACCTCCCAATTCCCCAGGTCCCAGCAAGTTCCAGAAAGGAACCCGAAAAGTGATCTTGTGTCAGTGCCTGCCCTGGGCAGGCCAGGCTGTGTGCAGGCAGGAGCCCAGCTGCTGCAGATCTGACGCCGATTCAAATGTCTGTGGTCAATGATATTTCTGAGTCTGCAAAGAGTGGCTGACAATGCCCACTCCTTCCCCTTGGTATGACAATCCACACTTTGTCCAAGGCCTTGTTTGTTCATCATGTTGACATGTTGTTCTTGCTTCCCAACAAGTTTGGCTTTCTTCTCCCTCCCTTTCCTCCTCTCAGGGAAGGAAATGTGTTGTTTACAGTGGAAGAGCCTGCCAAGGAGCTGCTCTGGCACCCGCAATGGCAGTGGAGGAGGTAGGGACAAGGAAACAGTCCTGTCTGCATCCCTTCCCTCCCAACCCCCTCCACAGACCAGACAAAAGCCAGAAAACAGCTTGGAGAACACCTCCCACCCAGATCAAGGGCAGAGGTATGTGGTGCGGCAGGTATCGGGCTGCAGTGGGGGCACAGATCTCGCTCATATTTTCTCAGTGGGTGGTGAAAAGTTGGCTTTGGTGGCCAGAAGCAGGCTCAGACTCCTGCTCTGGCTGTGGGCTGCCAGGAACACAGTGGGGCATCACAGTCCTTTCCTACAAGGAAAGGCACTTCCCCAGGCACACTGCTGGGTTCTAAACCTGAAAGGGCATCCCCCTGGACAACAAGGTCCCTGGGGCAGTCCAAGCAAAGGTCTCCAGGGAGAACAGATATGGCTGGGTTCACCAGTAGGAGGAGGAATAGTAGAGGCGCCAAAGAGGAGATACCCAGGGAATGGACTGGGGATTCCCAAGTCATCTTCTGTGCAATATCCAAATGGGTGGCAGAAGGCAGGGCTTGTCCAGAGGAGAGCTCGGCAGCAGCTCCCAATCCTGGCCTGGAGCAGCAGAGCCCACTTGGAACAGCTGCTGGGCGTTTTCTCCCGAGCCTGCGGCTTTCCATCAGGGCTGGCAGAGAATGGCTGGGACTGGGGGTGACACCTGGGTGAGCTGTCAGACACCACACAGCTGAGAAAGCATTGCGGGGCCTAAAACAATATTCTCATATTTGGTGATGTGACCCCTATGTGACCGCTGGGGCTGAGACTTCAGATCAACCCTGGCTGGGGACGGATGAACGCCTCAGCTCTGGGCCAGGCTCCCGCTCAGAAGACTAACAGCCCAGTGTTGACAGGCTCAAGGGAGAGAGGCTTGTTAAAGCCACTAGGATGAGGGAATGCTGGGGGAAGGAGGTGCAGGAGCAGACCTTGGCAGGTCCCCTCCCAGGGACTGAAGAGCCTCCTGCACAGCTCCGGAGTTGGCTGGTAAGCTTTACAGTCTCAGCAAGGATGAAAACAGCAAATGGCAGGGCAGACCAAGGCGTCGTTCCCTGGAGTGAAAGCCTGTGGAACTGGAGCTGGCTTCCTGCACCTCCAGATCCTCCATGAAGTAGGGAGTGTCCACTGTGCTCCACCTGGGGCTGCAGACGGCCCTGCTCTGCCACATGCTGGGGTCCAGACTCTCCTGGGTCTGGACTGATGGGGAAGTGGTGGAGCAGGTGGGTGTGGAGGCCTGTCTGGGGCCATTCCACAGGCTCTGGAAAGGGACTTGGGTTTCCGAACCTTCTGCCTTTTCCTCTTGGCCTCTCTTTTGTCACTCTTCCCTCATGCAGGGTGTCTCTGCCACACTTTCTCCCAAGAGATAACGAGTCTGGGCTGGTGCCCAGAACAAGGTGCCAGGGTTGCTGTAACAAAGTTATCCCAGCCCCTCCGTTTCAGCTGGGACCAACGGGAGAGTTCTGGCAGCAGTCAAGAGAACAGAAGACTGGGTCTCTTTATGTCCTGCGTCTCTTGGATTCTGCTCCTTCCTACTCCTCTGCGCCCAACAGGTCTGGGCACACAAGGCCCCAGGAGACACCCCGGAACCCTGGGGGCGCGAGCGAGAGATGCCTGCAGTGAGCAAAGGCAGGCCTCTCCGTGCTGGGGTCCCCTCCTGAGGAGCCTATGGCTCTCCTTGGCCCAGTGGAGTGGCCCTCACTGGCGACTGCAAGTCTAACCCCAGGCCTCTAGGAGGTCCTGCAGACTCCCAGGGAGACAGCCAGCCCCAGAGCGAGGCCTAGAGGCCCACAAGTAATTACAAACCCAGGTTCCCACAGGCGAGGGAGCTGCCTGTGACCACAGTGGCAAGACCCTAATGGGGGAGGCTGGCTGGCAGTCAGAGGCAGAAAGTGCTGACTGCCTGGCAGGGGGAGGAGGGCTGGTGTGGGTGTTGGCTCCACCGTTGAGAATCCGGCTGGGAGCAGGGTCAGAGGGTTTCCCAGGGCTCCTTGGAAAGGGCCTGAGAAACCCCTTGGTGATCAAGGGTGGGTGCTTGGGGAGTGGGGCCTCCGCCAGCCTTCCCGGGAGCTCTCCTGTGAGCTGGGCCCCGTGGCAGACCACAATAATGAGCCCATAACACAGGCCTTTGATTGAGCAGCTCCCAGCACAGCAACTTTATTGAAACATGCCGAGGCCAGCAGCTCGTTCCCACCGTGCCCTGGTTCCCTGGGCAACAGCCCATGGGAGGGGACCATGTGCTGGGGAGCCAGCGGGTGCTGAGCCTCAAGCTCACTGAGGGGCTGCCAGGGACGTGAGGGGATTGTGGCACTGGGAGTGGGAACCCCAGCAGCTACGAGGTCAGGGGCTTGAGGAAATGGGGTTGGGTCCGAAGGGCTTTCAGTGGACTGAGGGGCAACATGACATCTGCTGAGTCCTGTGGGGGACAAGCTTCCTGAGCTGCTGAAAATCAGAGACACTGACTAACCTCCCTCAGGGCAGGAGGACGTTCCAGGAGGGGAGGAGAGAGCTCCAAGGATAGGGTCAGATAGGAAACCGAACTGGGTAGAATGTATCCTGCAGTTTGGGAAGGCCCCAGCCCCTGCTGTCCCAGGAAAACGTGCTTGAACCTTTAATAAACACACATACACAAATATGCGCACGCGCACACACACACGCACATGCACACACTTGCTACCTGGAGACATTTAGGAATGATGACCTGTGAACTCTCAGGGGCTGGTCCTTACCTTCAGCCTCCCCAGCAGCTCTGCCCAGGAGACAGGCCTCCTCCCTCCCTGTTCTCCACAGGGGCAGGGGTAGCAGCCCAGGACATGGCTGGGGGTGGGGAATGGGGGGGAGGCCCTTTCTACTTGTGCTGGGCTAATTTCAAATATTACGCTTCACAGCTTTTGTTACAGTAACTACCAACACCACATGGACCGAAATCTAATGTTACCAAGTGGGACTTTTAAAATGTATTTATAACTTTATGGTTCAAAGTAATTTTGTTATGAAACGATATAATAACAACAGTGGAAAAAGGCAAGATAATTTATGGAACACAATATCCCTAAAGCACTAGCTTCCATTTCTATCTCAGCTTAGTCTGGGGAGTGTGGTTGGTGTCCTTTGTTTGCTGTTTGTTTTAATTAAGGGTTAGTATTTTGGTGGTGGGGGAGAAGAGGGGCCTGGCCTGAAGGAGGAGAAATTCTGTAGACATGCAGCCATAAGAAGTGTTTCTGTATTGAGTACGTGTGCTTCACAGACTCCCCAGACTGGGTGAAACCCACAAAACCCAGCATCATTCTCTTCCCCTCTACCGTAATGCCACATGCCTCTCCAATACATCGCAAACCAGGTATGGCCACCTTTAGGCTCATCAGGTTCCCTTTCTTGATACATGTGAGCGAGGTGAGTTAAAGTGTTCAATCCTCTCTCCACCCTTAACAAACAAACAAATGCCAAAAAAAGATGTTGTCCTTCCAAGACACTCGGGAGTGTGGTCAAGCAGGCTGAGCACCCGTTAGAGACCCGGGACGGGGGCGCGGGTGGGGTGGGGTGGGGTGGGGCCTGGAAGGAGGCCTATGGCTCTGAGGTCTCTGTACCCTACTTGGCATCAGCTCTGAAGCTTGCTACAGCCGGAAGAGCAAAGGAAGGACAAAGTGCTCTGGACAAGCCAGCAGGTCTCTGGTCACACACGCTCAGGAGGAATAGGAGGGCCATTAGAAAGGATGGGAAGGGGAGGCTCATCCCACTGAGGCCTGCCCAGCCCCTGGTCCAGGCACGCATGCCACTGTCTGAATTCTGGTGGGATTTCCATGTAGCCACTGGAGACTGGCCTCCACATATCCTCCCATCTTGCATTACCCTTGACTTCTTGTACCTTGGTTTACCCAGGGTTCAGAAATTCTTATAGCCTTCCAACCTAGATTTCCACAGGAAACAGAATTACCAATAGCCAGGGCCTGGAGAGTTAACACTTGTGTCTCAGGTGACAGGGGGAAAAGGCCAGGAAGTGCTCCTGGAACTGCTGCAGTGGACAACGGCATCTATACTCCACATCCACACACAGGCCTTGGGCCCTGAATCCAAGAGGCATTCATGACCAGCCCCTCTGGAAGGGGCGCCACCAAGAGTTGCCAAGGGAGAAGAGGAGGGGTGAGCAAGGAAGAGCCTATGGAAGGAAGGAAGGGAGTAGAAGAAGGGCCTTCTCACTTGTAACCAGGGTCCATGAGCCGCGTAAGGATGCTCCTCTGTGGCAAAGGCGCCTTCTACTCCCGTGGAGACAAACGTGATGGCCATGTCCCCTGTGATACTTTTATATGTAAAGTGCCGTCCATGCAGGAGCCTGCCCCTGGGGGTGGGAACATGGAGACAGTGAGGAGCTGGGCCTGGAAACAGTTCCAAGCGCAGCAGGCCTGGCCAAGGCTCTGGAACAGTGGGTACTATGCTCCACGGGACAGGGTGCCTGGTAAATGCCCTCCTGGCTGCCCACCTGCCCACTAACAGAGGACTGTATCCAAACATGTTCATTTCAAAGAGAAGCCCCCTTCACAAGTTCTCTAAGGTCATTCTTTCAAAGTGTTCAAAGCTAGCAGAAAACACTCTAGATCAGAGTTCAAAAGCCCTCCAGAGGTCGTGGGGTTCACCTCCCTAAGGAAAACTGAGGCCAGAGAGAAAACGTAGCAATGTGCCAAAGGTCATGCCCAGATGTAAGAGGGGGTCACATCCCCCATTGGGGATGGAGGTGAAGTAGTGTCTAGACAAGTTTCCCTGGGATGATGGGATAGTGCCTCTCCAGTGGGACACTACAGTGACCAGGGCAGAATCTTCCACCTGCATCTGGGTTTTCCCATAACATTTAAGTGGCTGGTCCAAAAGCCATAGCACATCTTAAAAAAAAAAAGCAAGCAAGCAAACTGAAGCCATGTGGGGTCACTCAGGGAGCCACAGAAGTTACGTTTTTTTTTTTTTTTTTTTTTTTTTGAGACGGAGTTTCGCTCTTGTTACCCAGGCTGGAGTGCAATGGCGCGATCTCGGCTCACCGCAACCTCCGCCTCCTGGGTTCAGGCAATTCTCCTGTCTCAGCCTCCTGAGTAGCTGGGATTACAGGCACGTGCCACCATGCCCAGCTAATTTTTACTTTTAGTAGAGACGGGGTTTCACCATGTTGACCAGGATGGTCTCGATCTCTTGACCTCTTGATCCACTCGCCTCGGCCTCCCAAAGTGCTGGGATTACAGGCTTGAGCCACCATGCCCGGCCCCACAGAAGTTACTGTTAATCCCTAGTCTGGAAATATACCTGGGGGAGGGGCAAGCAGGGGCAGCCAATGGGCAGAGCCACCCATCAGTGAAGGAAGCAGAACCTGTGGCTGCCTTCTCAGGCTGCCTCCAATTAACCCTTCACCAGTCAAAAGGCCCTGGGCCTCGGCCAGATAAGTGGCTGGGGAGGATGTGGCTGTGGGGTGGTGGTGGGCCCTGCCAGATCTTGTTCATTCTGGCCACTTGCTCTCTGTCTGCTGCCCAGGGTGGCTGGCCAAGGCTGGTTACCCTTCAAACTCACACCCAGGTGCTGGGGACAGTGGGGAGAGTCCCCACTGTGCAAGTCTTCTTCCCTGTCACTGTTCTGTGAGTTTAGAGTTACTCTTAGAGCCTCTGCTGCTCAGAGTGTGGGTGGAGCCCTGTGGCTGTAGGGGAGCCAGCTGTAGATGCAGCCATGCAGCCGCCCTGAGCACAGAGCTGAGTTCTGGCCAGAGGGCTGGGCTCTGGCACTGTGGACAGAAGCAGAAGGGACACAGCTGGGCTTCCTGGTCCCTCAAGGAGTTTGCTGGACTGGCCACTGGGTTTTAGAACTGAGTGTTTTCCATGGGAAAAGCAGCAAGCAGGAGAAAATAGAGCCCAACCCACCCAACCCTGCCCTGACAAACCAGTGCTTCTGGGGACCCTGCCATCCCTGACCCTGGACTTGTGGGTGGCTGGGGGCACCTGAGACTCCCTAGGTCACAGAGCCTTCCTCAGGGGAACAGGCCCGAGGAACACTTCTCTGGACAAAGGAGAGTTCTTTAGTGCCTATTCCCTGTGGATTCTGACTCCAGAACTTGAAAACGAGGAAGGTCTGTCAAGCAAGCAGTCAGAGATCAGTGGGGCTCTCTGGCTACAATGCTGGGCCCACTGGGGGCTGTCGCTGCTCTGGGCTAGACAGGGGATACAGAGAAGAGAGCCCCTCTCTAGGAAGGATGGTTGACTTCTCACCACCTAGGCCCACCAGAGGCTTGGGCAGGGAGAACACTGCATGGCCCAATGACATGGGGGTGACTGCTCAGTTCACAGAACCCGGGCTCTAAAACAGGCCCCAAGTGGAGTAGCTCTCTTCTCCCTCCCTGAGCCCCAGCCTGCTTAGGTGTGTGGGCTGCCAACAGGCACCTCAGCCTCACCAGGAGACAGCAAGCACGGGCCTGGTGGCTCTCTAGAGGCTCAAGGATGTCTGCTAGGGGAGGGGGCTGGGAAGGTTCTGAAGTATCCCCTGGAGGCTGAGCTGGGTGCTGTGGGGTGAGCTGTGTGGCAGGGCTGTCTCTCTCACCTTAGGCAGAGAGGAATGAGGGCTCCGGACTCCTGGTTGAATTTCAGATGTACACTCTCGAGCTGCCGTGTGCGAATGAGCTCATGGGGAATGATGGCCGTGGAGCTGTCACTTTCCAGGCTGTCTTTACGGCTCCTGTGAAGCAAGCGCAGGAAAACGTTCAGCACAAGGTAAAAAGCTCAGGGAGGAGCAGGATGGGAGTCTCTGTCTAGGCTCCTGAGTAATAAAGACAATAATGGTGACCGATGATAATGATGGTGACAGCAACCATTTTGTATATGCCTAGCAAGCGCCGGCCACTTCACCAAGCGCTTCTCACTGACTGGCTACTCTTCACAATGCTCCCAAGAGGTAGCTGCCACCATTCTTTTCTTTTTTACAGAGGAGGAACTGGGGATAGGCAGGCTTAGTAATTTGCACAGGTTGCACAGCCAGAGAGTGGGTGGAGGTGAGATCTAGTCTCAGGTAGGTCTGGTTCTATAAAGCCTGCATCTTTGGCCAACATTTTTTTTTTTTTTTTTGAGACGGAGCTTCACTCTTGTTACCCAGGCTGGAGTGCAATGGCGCGATCTCGGCTCAGCGCAACCTCCACCTCCTGGGTTCAGGCAATTCTCCTGCCTCAGTCTCCTGAGTAGCTGGCATTACAGGCATGCGCCACCATGCCCAGCTAATGTTGTGTATTTTTAGTAGAGACGGGGTTTCACCATGTTGACCAGGATGGTCTCGATCTCTTGATCTCGTGATCCACCTGCCTCGGCCTCCCAAAGTGCTGGGATTACAGGCTTGAGCCACCGTGCCCGGCCTTTTTTTTTTTTTTTTTTTTTTTTTAAGATGGTGTCTCGCTCTGTTATCCAGGCTGTAGTACAGTGGTGCAATCTCAGCTCACTGCAACCTTCACCTCCCGGGTTCAAGCCATTCTCCTGCCTTAGCTTCCTGAGTAGCTGGGATTACACGCGACCGCCATCATGCCTGGCTAATTTTTGATTTTTAGTAGAGATGGGGTTTCGCCATGTTGGCCAGGCTGGTTTCGAACCCTTGACCTCAGGTGATCAACCTGCCTTGGTCTCCCAAAGTGCTGAGATTACAGGCGTGAGCCACTGCGCCTGGCCCCAACGTTCTACATTAAAATTTATGGCACAGTGGCTTGTCTCCCTGTGATCAGCAGGAGCTTTTGGGAGCCCTTCCTCTCCTGCCCTGGAGCCTCAGAGCTCTAATTCTGAGCACCATGAGATATGGCTCCAAGAGTTTCTGTCCAGGTGACCCTCAAGGCTTTGAGGATGCACATTCCACCAATGGCTAGGAGCTGCAGGGACATTCACACCCTTCATCTAACCAGACGATAATATAATCTGCACCGCCGAGTACAAGCCGGGCTCTTAGGATTCAGACCAGTGGGCCTGGCTGGAAAGCAGAACCGGGCCCCTACGCTGCTGGGCTTCAAGGCCCTAGGAGCCTATACCAGATTCCTCCTGTGGCCTTGGCACCATGAGCTGTCGCTGCTGCCCCACACTCCCTCCTGCCTGCTCCCCACCAACAGTGTGGCCCACAGCTTGGCCACGGAGTCCCTTTGCATTCTAAGATTTGCTCTTTCAAATTCAGCTGCCCCCACTGACAACCTCTCAAATCTGCCTCGGCCAGAAATAAGAGTTACCCACTGATCTCTTTCAAAAGGCCGGATCCTGGTTTGGGCTGCGAATCTCAGAACAATTCCCCAAGTGTCCATCAAAAACTGGGTGAGAAGCTCTAGTTATTTATCATTCAAGTGGCAGGCAGGAGCCACCCAGGATGACAGCCGGACAGCCACTGAGGGGCAGGCCCAACCTCCTCACACACTGCAGGGCTGGGTGTCGGGTAGCTCCCTCTGGCAGGGTGGCACCCAGACAGACAGGGCACCTCCGCAGGGGAAGGTGTAGGATCAGCAGGCAAAAGACAGAGGATGGCCCTTTCCAGCAAGGGCCCTGTGGTGGCAGCGGGTTAAACATGCCCCCGAGGTCACGGGCCATCCTTGCCTGCTGGTCTTCTCCTTGTGGGGACTCACCCCCGGATCGGACTGTTTCTTCACAAAGTGGTCCCTTCCTCTGGTTTCCTAAAGCCAGCTCTGAAACTGCCTTTTCCCCTGGCTTCGCCCTTGCATAAGACCTGTGAAGGAGACAAATGCTATGGCCAAGAGGGTCACAGTATTCGGGACTGGAAGGAAACTCTGAGGTTGTTTAATCTAGCTCTTTTTTTTTTTTTTTTAAATTTTAAAAATTATTTATTTATTTATTTATTTTTTGGAGACGGAGTTTCGCTCCTGTTACCCAGGCTGGAGTGCAATGGCGCAATCTCGGCTCACTGCAACCTCTGCCTCCTGGGTTCAGGCAATTCTCCTGCCTCAGCCTCCTGAGTAGCCGGGATTACAGGCACCCGCCACCATGCCCAGCGAATTTTTTGTATTTTTAGTAGAGACGGGGTTTCACCATGTTGACCAGGATGGTCTCGATCTTTTGACCTCATGATCCACCCGCCTCGGCCTCCCAAAGGGCTGGGATTACAGGCGTGAGCCACCGCGCCGGGCCTAATCTAGCTCTTCTTTACAAGAGAGCGGGTGACACATCCAAGGCCACAGGGCAAGTCTGTGGTGGGCCAGAATGGGAGCCTCGGACTTCCAACCAACTCTCTTTCCCTTCACCAGGACTCCTGCACCTCCCTCCCTTCTGAAGGAAGCACCAGCGACAGGTGAGGGCTCAGTGGAGACAGGGGGTGCCCTCAGGGCTCAAACAAGAGCAGAACTCAGGAAGCAGTGTTTCCTGAGCTATATTTCCTGAGCCCTTACTCTGTGCTAACCCTCTGCTCAGGCCATAGGTTCGCTCGCTGATTTCTCCCAGCAAGCACAAGGTAGGCTCTGTTGTCAAGTCTTCTTTCACGGACAAGGTAACTGAGGCTCACAGAGGTGAGGGGACAAGCCCAAGGGCTCAGAATGAGTTTAAGCGAAAGAACCAGGGGGTGACTCTCATAATCGCTCCCCTGTGCCATCTCTGACCACCTGCTCCTGCTTCCAGACACACCACCATTCTCCTGAAAGGTTCTGAGGTTTGGCTTGGCCAGGTGGGGCCTGCTAGAGGATCCCAGCCGCTATGGTGCCGGCAAAAATGCTGATGAATAGCATGGGAGGTGGGGTAGGGGCTCGCAGAGAAGAATCAACAGCACACTGGGCTAGAGGCATCTCAAGCTGGAGGGAAAAATAAATTGTTGAAAGTCAGCTAAAGTCACCTTGGTAACTGCCACAACACACTCACCCAGAACCAGGACATCAAACCCAACTGCAAACAGCTTTAAAGAAATGGAAAAGAACTTAATCATCTGAAGAATTAATGTGACAAGTGCCCACATTTACACCTCCCACCAACCTTCAATCATTTGAAACCATACTTTAATCTTTTAAGAGAAAAAAAATTGCAAAATGCTACATCTGCAGTCCTGGAGCTTGGGTATTTCCGGCATGCTGCTTCACTGGAAACACGGCTGCTGTTACACACACACACACACACACACACACACACACACAAGTCCAGCTTTTTGCTGATTTGTTTTTTCTGGACATCGATGCAGAAGCATGAATTATTTGTGTGGGCTGGGCGAGGTATTACATCTGCAGCCAACACAGGTTTGCAACGTTTTGCATGGTTGTCAGGTTAATCTTAGTCATAAAAAAATAAGTAGTGTGCTCGGTTGCATGGCCTAATTTTTCAGCTGGGCTCTTTTCTCGCTGAGTTCCCAGCGGAGGGTAAGGCATGGCTTTGGGGGCTAGAAGGGAGAGGGGCTCTCGGGGAGCCACAGCTCATACCTGCTGGCGACTGCCAGGGGCATGAGGCCAAGGCTGTGCTCCAGGAGACAGAGTGGCTAACAGCTTAAGTTCTGTTCCAGTCTTACATGACATTGGGCTTAACTTCTAAGCTTTGGTATCCTCTTAACAAGAATAAATAACAATAGGTCATTAGGACTAAATGGGATGACTGAGATGAGGCATCTCATAGTGCCTGGGATGTAGAAGGTGCTCATAATACATCTGACAACTGCATTAATGTGTTGACATTAGCTGGCTGCCTCTAAAAGTCTATCTGCTCCTCCTGTAGGAATGTCAATGGCCTAACCAAAACTTGCTTGCCTTTATCCTGGGCCCAGAATCCAACTGCCTCTGTCCAGGTCAGTTCTCTGCTGAACAAAGGTTGTTGCCTGGAGTTTGGGAGAGGGTACTTCTGAGATGGGGCTTGAAAGGGCTCCCGACTCCTTGAGTGGACACTTGCAGGCTTTGTTCAACCACTGGTGCTCTGGGAAGGCCCTCCTATAGCCCAACAAAAACCCTGAGACCTTTGCTCCACTGAGGGAGGTGCTACCAGGGCTCTCTTCCGTCTACAGAGCACAAGCTGCCTTCCTGCAGTTCTCAAACCCCTGTTCTTCAAGTCGCCTAGAGTGAGATGAATTCATCTTCACATAATAACCTTTCCAATCCCTAAGGCTGCTCTCACATCCCACCAAAAATTTTTTTTTTTTTGAGACAGAGTCTCACTCTGTCTCCCAGGCTGGAGTGCAGTGGTATGATCTTAGCTCACTGCAACCTACACCTGCTGGGTTCAAGTAATTTTCTGCCTCAGCCTCCTGAGTAGCTGGGATTAGAGGCACCTGCCACCATGCCTGGCTAATTTTTGTATTTTTAGTAGAGAAAGGGTTTCACCATCTTGGCCAGGCTGGTCATGAACTCCTGACCTCATGGTCCTCTTACCTCAGCCTCCCAAAATGCCGGGATTACAGGCATGAGCTACCACACCCGGCTTTTTTTTTTTTTTTTTTTTAAAGATGGAGTTTCGTTCTTGTTTCCCAGGCTGGAGTGCAATGGCGTGATCTCGGCTCACCGCAACCTCCGCCTCCTGGGTTCAAGCAATTCTCCTGCCTCAGCCTCCTGAATAGCTGGGATTACAGGCACGTGCCACCATGCCCAGCTACTTTTTTGTATTTTTAGTAGAGAGATCGAGACCATGTATTTTAGGTCGAGAGATCGAGACCATCCTGGTCAACAGGGTTTCACCACGTTGACCAGGATGGTCTCGATCTCTCGACCTCGTGATCCACCCGCCTCGGCCTCCCAAAGTGCTAGG